TTAATTTAATTATTAAGAGTAATTAATAATTATAATTATTAAGTGATAGTAGATAGATAACTAATATTGAACATCACCATAACGAAGAATGGTGACGTTAACGGAATTATCTCCGGCGGCGATGATCGTCTGGTGAAGAGGTTGCAACTGAAGAACAAGGAGGATAATCTGAGTCTTCAGAGGTTGCTGGCATTGTCTTCATCAACCGTGACGTCTGAGGAAAACGTTGTCGTTTCGGGTTTTGGAGAGAGAACGTGTGAGAAAACTGACGATTCACGGAATTTCACGTGCATGTCCCACGGGTTCCTATCGGTGATTGGCCGGCGGAGGGAGATGGAGGACGCCGTGAAAGTACGAAGGTTCTTATTGGTTCTTTACAATTATGGGCTTTAAAGTACGAAGGTGGGAGGGGACTACGTGGACAACCTATCTGGGCTTCGTTTTTGGGCTGTTTTGTATATGTAAGCCAACCTGGGCCTTTACAAAATGTAAACTCACTTCTAATTTTCCGCTTAATCTCCCAAAATCCTACACCCATTTCCCGCCACAGAAGATCTATCAACTAAGAAGAGAAGGAGAAGGAGAAGGAGCAAATCTAAGAACAGAGCCTTGGTTTGTCCCATTTCAGATTCTTCATTTTTGAGATCGTCGAAGGTGGATCTCATATGTTTTTACCTTTTGGGGGATACTATTACCATATTTGTGCTTCGTCTTGGTTGTTTGAAAGATTTGAATGTTGGCGTCTTGTAGGTATATTTCCCTCTAGGATATCTGGCTCGTGGGTTAAAGATTTGAATGTTGGTATCCATGTTGGTTACAGGCAAAAAAAACCCATTGGTTGCCCTTCAACTTATAAAGTTTGATGACCCCTCACCTTTCAAATTATAAGAATTTACGCCTTTCAATTACTTTATTTGATGAAATGTGGCAATATTTAACGTTCGGAGTCACGTATTGCACGTGAAATCTTTGTTCTCCGTTAGCGATTGACAGCGCAGTATTAGATGGGACCCAGATTGCAAAGCTGACACTGACAACATGGCTAAGGGTCAACTCTGTCTCCCTATAGGCCTTCTCTGCCTTAGTGGCCCAACTTTTTTAGTTTAAACAACAAATTGAAGCAAATTGATGAAATGGAGCAAGTTGATTGGCCAGATAAAAAGTTAATATTACTATAGACTCTTAACCTCTAAATTTTTTAACCAAATAAACTTAAATAATTGTATTTAAAGATGGGAAA